AATGAATCCAGTTTTTGACGCGCTTTAATTTGGTATATAATGCTTTGTAATATCATTTACAACTGAAGCTGCTAGAGGGGGAGAAAAAGGTTATGTAACACCCTGTATAAGGCTACTACTATGGATAGGAAGATAAAATCAGCTACAAAATTCGATTTTTATACTACGCTTCATGTTTTTAGATTTCTTAATGCCTAGATATTATCACAATTGCATGAGATAGCGGTTGGCCAAACTTCCACAACAAAATGGATTCTTTTCTGATATTTATTTAGCGCAAAACACAAACTGAAATTACTATCTCTTAAGAATTCTTGCCAGTCGGTAAAAAGGTAGCCTAGAACAATGAGCTCAAAATCTCGAGATGGAAAATCTTTATTTATTGTCGAATTGAACTTCTAATGGTTGGCTAACTTTTCGTAACCATAATCAATACATTCAGCATAATCCAAGGTCCTTATTGTACTATGAGAAGGTGTGAGTTTAAATTATAGAACTGAGGTATTGATGACGACTAGAAATTTGTCAGTTGGAAACTTTCGCAGTCATATTTCTAGACCGTTAAAGCTGTGAAAATCAATAAAAACGAGCAAAATAGACTAACTTCACTGCCCTAAAAATTGATAAAAACAATCAGCCAGTTTTAAAAGTTCAACTGGATTGGACTGATAATCGGGTAAACAATCGGTCCAGTTCCAAGTCTGCGCTGATATAGAAAAATCGAATTAAACTGATTTTTATGCCAAAATACGAGAAGATTTTATTGCTTATCGAATAACTCTCCAAAGAAAACAGCTACCGATTTGCAGCTTGCATTATTAGAGAAATACGGTCAAACTCATCTTTCTATATAATAATTACTAGCATTTATCTAAGTCAAGATATATGCAACATAAAAAATGTTAAAAGATGATAAAAACCCTGTAATAAAAACCAATGTCACTTTTTTTCTAATATAGTTTTCACATTTTAAATTGCATTTGATGTTCAAAGTAAATATACCAAAAGATGCAGCAAGTTCTGGGCTTTCTTCCTATATATAGTAAGTTAACAGATAAAAACGTATAGTAATAAAAAAAAACCACAAAAATCAAAGCGTATAATTTCAATTGTCTTCGACTGTATACTCAGAGTCAGAGAGATCTTAATAATATTTGTACAAAATATTATGTCGACCATTTTTAGAAAAACTAAAAGATGGCACTCTTTACTAATTCATTGGAATAGAGAGTTATAATTCTCCATCATAGAGATGACACCAGTTAAGGATACTATCAGAATAGAAAAAATAAAAAATGGCCTAGACGAAAATATAATATAGTAACATCGTAAGCTATGTCTAATCTTTCTGTGTCAGTGTTTTATCCAGAGGGGTGCCCGGGGGGGCCGCGCCCCCCCGAAAATCGAGTTTGCCCCCCCGAAACTTGCGATCATCGTACGATAAACACGTGGCTTGCCCCCCCGAAAATAATTTTTCGCCCCCCCGAAATTCCAAATCGCCCCTCCGGAGAAAAAATCCTGGATAAAACACTGTTCTGTGTAAACATCTTTTGAATTTCAATTAAAACAATTATAGAACGACGTGAACAAGTGCAACAATAGATTCCATGAAAAAATCATTTGATGAATCATCAACATTAGCCAGTAGTGGATCATTCGTTTAGTTTAAATAGTTACTTCGAGTTCTTATGCTGTACGATTATTATTTCTTTACATAGATTCGACGTTCAGTTACTATCCGATATTTATCAATAAATCATGATGACTAAAGTCAGCTACGACGTAGGTTATGTATTAGAAAGAACTAATGGTTTGTTGATTTAAGCTAATCAATATTAACTTAATCTGCACATTAGATTACACTTAGTAAATATATGAAAGTGACAAAACATGTCAGAATTCACCTGTTCATAACTGAGCTGAGAAGAAACCTACAGAAATAGCCTGTACTATCCATTTTTATGGAATTTAAACTCATAAAATTAAGTTTGAATTTGATATATAATAGGAATATTTAAAAAATCTTAGCCTTCGGGCAAAAAATTATATTATATTAGAAAGGGACAGATATATCATAAACAAAGATTTAATCTTCAAATAGAACATTAGCATATTCAGTGTACTACTTTTAATTCGAATATTATTTTAATATTTATTTGTAGTTTATTCTTATCACTAAACAAATAACTAAAGCATCAAATGTTATCCATCACGTTTACTGTAATAACCCATATATTATGTTTCACGTTTGTATCACTTTTTCCTTCTTCATTTGCATCTTTCTTTTTTCACTCATGATTGTACACATATTGGTTCTCTTTGATCATTTGCTCCTTCTTCTTAACTGTAAGCATATTCACTGATTCATTCATTCGGTACTCTTTTTTCTATCTTGATACTATGAAACTGTTTTTTTTCATCTTCATTACATACTTCTTATTTTTGCACACACAGCTTGATGTATCAAAGAAAAAACGAAGATTCAATAAAGCTGTCATCTATATGCACGATTGTTTTTCACTAATCCACAATCTTTATTAAGTCATATGATCTTTTTTTAATTCGGTTTTTAGTTTTATGATCTTCATCTGCTGTAAAAGATTCCCCAGTAAGCATTCTCGATGGTTCTTAATAACTACGTTATGCTTCACAATTGTTATCTTTTATCGAAATTTATTGCATGCTTCAGAATTCGATTCAAATGTAATACACAATTATACAAATAAATATCCTTTTATAGCACTAATAGTTGACGATAGAGCTAGTCAAGGACTTGTCAATTGATGTTATCAATGTTTTACAACATATTCCAATCGATTGGAAAGTTCAAATTATTACATCAGTTCAACATTGGTCTTTCTATAATACATCTTCTCTTTCTTCATTGATCACCAATGATCGTGTTTTTATGACACCATTAGACTTTCCACGAGTGGATTTTACCGATAGCGAACACATTAATTTACTTCTAACATCTGCATCATTTTGGCACCAAGTACAAGGTGAAAAAATACTGTATTTTCAAACCGATTCAGCTATCTGTTCGAATTCATCATATAAATTAACAGATTTCTTACAGTATGATTTCATTGGTGTGCCATGGCATCGTGGTGGTTCCTATAATGGTGGATTTTCATTACGAAGTCGAAAAAAACTACTTCATTTGTTGGAAAGTAATCGTGCTCGTTATCGATTGCATGAAACAAATGAAGATGTTTGGCTAAGTCGTAATTTACCTCATGTAAATGCTCGTATTGCTTCGACTCATGTTGCAAACAAATTCTCAGTAGAAAGTATTTATCATCCTCGACCATTTGCTGTTCACAAGCCATATTTTAAAGTATTAAGTCCAGTTAATATGAAACTTCTATGTAATGATTGTCCAGAAGTTAGAACTATTTCTTCTTATTGTTGATTAAAAATAACTTGTAGCTGTGCCTTATTTCTTTTTTCTTTTTGCATGTAACTCTCTTTTCGAAAAGATGATAATAACATTATTTCTATTTTTAACAAATTCCCCATTGAATTTTCTGTCAAAATAACAAGATCAAGTTTCTATAGAACGATAAAAGTGCAATATGGAGCATCTTGCTATTTCTCTCTCTACAAATCTGAAATGTCTCACAAGTTGCGAATTTATATATCGGATCATTCATGGTGTATTTCTTCGTCAGATACCGATTAAATATATCATGATTAGAGAAGGATGTTAAGCGTCTTTACATAAAGTCAAGTTTTAAAGAAATAATTAAAAATGAATAAACAAGCTTATGAATAAATTCGAATAATAAACACTTGAACAATAAATAATATACAACTTCAATCAATCCGTAATATGATGTTATACTTCATATGTGTACTTACAAATAAGGCTTATATTTTTTTTACTAATCATAGCTAGAAGATGAAATATTTTGATTTTGTAAATTTCAATACTCCATTACTGGTATATTCAATTTGATTTATAAATAGAAAAATCACGTTGATGTAATTATCATTTAAAATCTATATCATTCAATCATGTAACTTGTACTGTTTTTATTGTTGTTGCACTAATCGTCATTTCTCAATTTTAAAGAAATTTTTAACATGGTTTGTCATTTATTTGCTCATTTTGTTTTTCATTTCTAATTATAAGACTACAGATGATAATCTGATAATGTTTCGACAAAAAATGCTGTCCTATTATTCTGAAAAGTTGAAAACAAAAATTGTTTCATTGATTATTTTATACGAGTTGGTTATTAGATCAAACTACCAACGACAGAATGTTTGCGAATCATATTTTTGATGGGTACTTCCATAGATAGTCAACCAAGAAAAACACAATGTTCTCAGAAGATTTTTTTTTCGCATGTAGAGCTCGTTAGTCTAAGCATTTTAGCGAAAAAAATATTCAAGTTTATTCAATAAATTGTGATGCTAGAGTCAAAATATGCAAAAACGTCCACTACCGCTCAGCAGCAGTCAGGAGTATTGTTGTTCTAGCACCATGATGCATTGAATAAATTTGAATAGTTTTCTTTTTCATCAAAATGATCAGCGCAACAAACTTTACAGACGAAAAAATCTTCTGAGAATCTTGTGTTTTTGACAGTTGACTATCCATGGAAGTGTCCATCAAAAATACGATCCGCAAGCATTTTGTCGTTGGTAAAAAACTAAAGTCTAATGTAAAATTATTTGGGAGAATGGAAGATGTTGTTGCTTCACTGTTGATTCTTTCATGATCTGTGACGTTCGAATTAATACATCTTTTAGCAAACGAGGATGATTAACTCGAGTGTTGACTATCTAAACAGGAGTATCGATAAAATTGTTTATCTTCATCATAGAAGATAAATTGAGATAGAGAAAGTCAGATTTTAAAAGATACTTATGAAGTTATAGATGATAACAATATATTTAGGTTCTAATCTTCATCTCTAATGTTCTTAACTGAAATCTAGAAGATGTTTCTTGTTCTAAAAAAATCAAAATAATTAGGTTTTATGTTGTTACTTGCTGGAACAGAATAATCCGTCTTGAAGTTTATTCAAATTTGTAAAATAGATAAAATGTATTGTGTATTTATTTATTTATTTATTTTAATTTAATAAATGAGGTGTATACATATTCTTTTTTCTATATGATACAATGAATAAAATAATCTTTAAACTAATAAATTTTTATGTTCATTTTGATGTCGATGAATTCGAATATGTCGATCAAGATTTCCTTTGTGACTTGTTGAATAAGAACATATAGGACAGAAGAATGTTTTTTGACCTGAATGAATCGATTGATGTCGTCTTAAAAGTGCTTTACGACAAAATGTACGTCGACATGTATCACAATGATAACCACAACGATGTTCTGTATTAACATGTGCACGAAAATGTGCTTTACTGGTAAATAATTGATTACAACAATCAATTGGTTCTGAAAGTATTTCATGCATTGTTTGTATATGTCGTTTAAGATTATTTAATCGATTTGTTGTATATGAACATTGTGGACATGATAAACGACGACGAACTTTTGAATTTAATGACGATATTGATGATGAATTTTTTCGAAGACAATTTTCTGTTGTTAATGAAGCATGAGATTCTTTTTCTATTGAAACAGTAGGAATGATAGTTGGAGGTGTTAATAATAGTGGAGGTGGTGATGGTGCTTGAAAATATTGATCAAAAAGATTTCGAAAGAATACTTCATGATACAGACGAAACGAAGAATCCAATTGAAAGAGTGAAGATGGTAATGGATAAAAAAGAGAAGATAACAAAACTAGATTGGAATTTGTTTGTTGATTTGAACTGAATAAAGACCTAAAAATAATTGAAAATAACAAATTTCATCTATTCTTTTTTTTTTTCATTCCATCTTCATAGATACACTCGATTGATCATCTTTGATTTAAAAATTTAAATATCGACATTTCCTTTGTACCAATAGGATTTCAAACAATAATTTGTTCACTTTTTTTTTTATTAATCCATGCAATTTTCATTCCTTAATACGTATTCTTGAATGCTATACTTACTCATAGTATGAACTCATCATCGTAATGTTATTGTTCAGACTATTAAAAATGACAAATGGACATGAAATCTGTGAATGTCATTGAGCCGTGTGGTCGTTTTTTTTTCTTCGATTTTTTTTCTTTTTCTTCTCATCTCAAACATCATCATCATCATCACAATATACATACACGTATAAGACGATACTCGCTTGCTCATGAATACGAGATTGAACAAAAACAATAAAAAAGAAAACATTCGATTGAAATTAACTTGACTCGTACATCTTTGTGTATCTATCCAAAGAGACATGTTGATGTTTCATCTCTCGGAAAAACTTAATCATTGCATGCGTAAATGTGTGTGTGTGTGTCAAAGAGAAAAAAAGGAGAGAAAAAACGATGACGACAATACCGGTGATAAACGAGCATGCATTAATTGAATGGCATTTGAACTCACTTTTCCCTAGTGACATTACATTAGGTGTTCATTATGAATACAAAGAAGTAAGAGAGATAATGAAAAAAAGAAACATGTCAAATGTCATCCCAAGAATTAATTTGTCGTGGTTCTTGATTTGATTTTGTTTTATTCAATAAACCATGATTATGATTTGTTAAAAAAGAACATTCTGATTTAAGTTCAACAAAATCTTCTTGTTCTTCATAACGTGATTTTGGTAATTGTGGTTCATCTAATGATTGTGATAGAGAACGTATAGGATATTCTGATGAAGTCGAATCAATATCACGATTATGATGATATCGATTATTTGATATCATTGAATCGATTCCAAGAGTTTTATGACCACGAAATAATAATGAACGAAGGGTTTTTAAACGATTTGATGCTGCTGCTTGAGGTAGAATTCGATCTCGACGCACTAAATGATTTGACATTATTGATGAATCATCAAGATGTAAGGATGATTGTGAATGATGACGACGAGGATGTAATGGTGTTGGATAATTTGATGTTGTTGTTTTCGTTTCACTACTTAATGTTGCTGGACGAGGATACAAATTTTGGCAAGATGTGGTTGATTTGGAACGGGTTGGTCTATATACATAATATATACATATACAGGATATATAACAATAATAATAGTAATAATAATAATATAAGACGATAGAAGATGCAGTTGCGTGCTGTGTAGAAGGATTAACGAGCCGATTTGTGCTTACCGCAACGAAAAAATGAACCATATGAGAGCATTGATCATGATCAGAAGGAAGATGACTCCAGTAACAACACAAATAACAATTAATGTCATATTTGAACGACGAAAAGATGACGAATTTGGAAATAAATCTAAATATTTTAAATTAAAAGACGAAAAAATTTAATTAATAGAAAAAAGAAAATTATTTTTCTTTTACATCGTTTATAAAGTGATTGATTAAGACCTTGCAGCTGTTGTTGTTGTTTATCAACACCAGCTAACGACATAACATCCTAAAGAAAAACAAAAGGGACGAACATTTCATGTCTTAAAAAATGCTCACACACTTTATGTTCTTCAAGTGTACCAAGAATAGGCGGAGCTATAGCATGGTCGGATGGATATCGTTTTATTAAATCACTAGAATGAGTAACACCTAATGACGACAATGGTATGTCTTCTCGTTCACCTCCGCCTACTCGTCTTTCTTGATCAATAGGAACATTCATTTCGTTATTCATATTAGAAATGTGTAAAGAAGGTTGTTTTGATAAATTTGGTATGGGAAAATTTGTTGATACTGGTGTTCGATTAACAGCTGGTGCAACATAACATTGTAATCGTACAGTTCCATTATTTGATACAGGTAAAACAGAATATTTTATTAAAAATCCACCATGTTTAACATGAGCTAATGTATAAAAACGAAGTGTAACATTTTGTTGAATATTACTAACAACCGTTAATGGATCTTGTGTAAGACATTTCGTTTGAAAATCTTGTCCAAGCCATAGAATAAGACCAGCTTCAGCACATGTTGGTAAACGAAAATCAATAACTTCAAGTACAATAGCATGACCTGGTGATGCAAATAATGCACATGGACAATTAAGATTTGATGAAAAACCATGTGGATAATTTGGTGTTGAGAGAAAACCATATGTTAAAGTTGTATCTTGAGGCTGACAGACATTTTGAAGCGAATATTCTATAAGATGATAATTATGATAATAAGAATTCTTATTTTCTATTCATTATAAAAGCTAATTTTATATAATAACATGCATTGCTTGTTTTTTTTTCTATCATGACAGATTTCGTGATCTTCTCTTGTATGTGTGGGTGTATTTTATTTAGTTAGTCAATTTTTCTCGTTTTGATGGCATACTCATATTAAAACAACAAACAAAGAGAACTACAGACCTGCAATACATTCAAATTCAGCTTGAATATATGATGCAGCTAAAT